AAATTAAAAAAAAAAAAAAAAGAGAGACAGCTAAGAGTCCTCTAAGAACTACCCAAGTAGTCCATGAAAATTACATGACCGATCCTCCACAGAGGTGCCCAGGTGACCAAGGCTGGCTTGGTCATGTAACACTCACTTGGAGGAGAGGGGAGGGAGCTTGGGCAGCGGGAGGCCACACACATGGGAACACACCTCATGGAACCTGACCACAGCTATGCCCAGTCTGTGAGGTCGGGGATGGGGGTGGATAATGCACGAAAAAATACAGCAGGAAAAACAGATTTCTGCTTCCTGAAGATGGGACCAGGTCGAGGAAGCAGCTATGAGTCATGCTGTATTATAGCTTCTGCTACGGAACATCGCGCCTTGTTTATTAGATGCAAGTTTTATGCTGTGTGACTCCACAGTGTCAACAGAGCTTATGCAAATCAAGATTTATTCTCAATGCTTGATATTGAATCCCTGACAATAGATAAATAAGAACCAATATGTTCTTAATTTGTCTGACAATGATTCATGAAGCAGAAACACAACTTGATCTTCATAAGCCATTTCTGCTACTGAATTTTAGACTATTACTCTTTGCCTGTCTTCAATCCCTTCCTCTTTTAACTCCATCTTATTTTCAATATACAGTTTCATTAAAATTAATACCCACAGAGTAGCTCAAAATTAAAAAGGCCAAGAATACCGCATTAGTGGAAGACCCAAGCGGCCAGGAGCCCCCCAGCCCAGCACTTTGTAATCACAGAATACTTGAGCTGGAAAGGATATATATTCTTTGGTTGGGATTTCAAATTGGAGGGGGAAGATCCCCGAAATAGAACTTTGAGGAATAGAAGGACTATCTTGGGACTATGGCTATGCTGAGAAAATTGAGCCCTTTCGGAATATATACTTGGAGGAGAAACCAACTGCTTAGGGAGTGTAAGTGCTTCTCCCTCAGCTCCAAGGACCCCAAGATGCGCATGCGCACACACAAACATGACGCGCATCCGGGGTCAGGGCTCCTCCTCTGCTGCTGTGCAGCAATGCTGTATGACAGCAGAGAAGAGGATGAAAACAAAAATGCTTCCAGGTTCACTGCAGACAAGCTGTGATGGGACTTGAGGCAGTGGGTAGCTAGCAGAAAGTGAGATCTGTAAGTTCTTGCCAGAAACTCAGAACCTGAACCAAAAGCCCGAGGAGGGGAAAGAAGCTATTAATTGTCTTTACTTTCATAAGCTATTTAAATTTATAAGATAAGTTGAAAATCCAAATGATAGTTGCTTAAATGACAATGTCCACTCTTCAAATGACAATTGCCATCCTTGTCACTCTACTTCAGAATGAATCTACCATTTGCCAAAGAGCAGGATGGGGGCATCATCAAGGAAGAAAGCCTTGTAAAGTTACTGTGGTTCAGGGCTGACCTGATAGCTCAGCAGACTAATGGGCCTGCTTAGGCAAGCTCCAAGGGACAGGGGTTCGATCCCAGGCATGCCGTGCCAGCCCCACCTCCAGAACACACTGAGATAGCAATTGAGCCTGGGCATGGTGGCACACGCCTGTGATCCCAGCACTCGGGAGGCTGAAAACAGGATAATCACTACAAGTCCGATCTGTATAGTGAGACCTTTAGACCCTATACTAAATACATTAAAAAAATAGTTACAGTGTTTCAGTGTGCTAGTGGTGGAGGCCAATGATACATCATGTACCATGTTCTGTGCTGGAAGCTGCAGAAAGCAGCATCCATGGTCCTAGGACCACCTGACTCAGTCCTAAGCCACACCCAAAATGGCCACAGCAATGTGTGGGGTGAAAACAGAAAGCCAGCACAGAGATCACAGGGACACACAGGTGCTCCTCTGGCCATCCAGAAAGACCCACCCGGAGTACAAGTCCTTTGGGGGCTCATCTACACAGCTGTGATATTAGAACCCTAAGACACATCTGAGATCATGGTGTCCAGGCTTCTTTCTGAACCAAAGAAGCAAGATTTCTGGGTATATATCTGGACACTTGCTGTTTGAAAAAAAAAATCACACTGGGGAGGTCTCCATATCCAAAGTGGAAAAGACTAAGTCGTCAGTGAGAAAAAATGAGCAGGGGTTTTCCAGGAAAAAGAACAGCAATACCAAGAGCCAGGAGCAGTGACACAGGAAGTTGCCTATCAGAGCCCAGTGGTGGGGAGTGGGTGCAGGTGAGGCCAGGAGGTGATGTAAGGAATCTCCATTTTCCTGTAGAAGATGAGGACCCCAAGAGGAGCATGGCAAGGCAATGCATTTACATGAGCTAGAGGGTGGTCGACAGATTTGAGTGTGGCAAGACATGAAGAGAGAAAGCCTGTGGACGCTGAGGATGAAATTATTATTCTGCAAAGAGAACATATTTGTTTTTTACTTTTCAGTAGAAATCTAGTAAATGAACATGAAGCACCCAAATGAGCACAAGACAGTTATCAGACTGTGAATAATGCCTCTATCACATAACAGGGAAAAAGCACTTGGGCTCACACTGTGGCTCTAGCACTTCAAAGCCAAGTGAGTCTGTATAAGTCAGCAAGTCCTCTCTGGGCCTCAGTCTCCTGAAAGCAGCATCTACTTCACAGGGTTGTTATAAGGATTAGACTGAATCAATATGCAATCTAATTATAGTGCTGGGCTTGTGAAAAACACATCTGAAATGTTAGCTTCTGTTATCTACAATAGCATCACCACTATTAGGCAAGATTTGTTTGCTCTTCTGGGAAAGGATTCTAGAAAGTTCCAGGAATTCCTCTGGATTTGTTTCTAATACAAAATACTCCAATACCTTTTTTTCTCATTGTCTCCAAAGCGCTACATTTTATCAAGAGCTAAACTGTCCCTAACACCTCTTTTGTTAACGCCCCCCCCTCAAAAGAGACAAAGTGTAACTTGAAGAAAGCTATAGTCAGGCTATCTGTCAACCTGAAAACAGAACTGCTGATTCCAAATGCAATGTCAGGGACCAACTTAAATATCCCAAATCTTAAATTCTGGTTTTGAGAATCTGGGATGATTCCTACTATCTCAGCATAGCAGGCTTTCATAATCATTTAAACTTAATTTTCATAAAAACAAGGTTTATATCAAACATCTATATTGGCATTCTTTCTTCAACGTCTCCGTTCACTTTTTTTTTTTCTTGTTCACTCTTGATTCTGAAGAAACAGCCATCAGTGTAAGATGTGAGCTACCAAAGAGAGCCACCTAGTGTAAACTAAGCAGACTGATTTATTATTGTGAATGCTCTAATAGAAGATCACGGGGTAAACGCAGAATGCACTAATAAAACTGACAGTGATACGTCTCACAGGTCTATTATTCCAAGAGTGGTAGCCAGATGGTCTTCATTTCCTGTGATAATTAAAGAAAGGGTACACAAATGCTAGCAGGCAGAATGCAGGTCAGATCTAAAGAGCCAGGTCATGCTAGTGATGGAGAAATCCTTAAGCAGGAGGCTGGGGCATCTGTCTTCTCACGGGTATCTTTTTAGATAAGACACCCGTTTGTCTGGATGATTTATACTCAACGCTGTTGGCGGCAGCAGAGCAGGATCAGATCACTGGTTCTAATGGAGTTTTCCATTCGTATTTGTTCTTGTTCTCACTACCCCGAACTGTTCCTCCAAAAACCGAACAAAATTTCTTCAAGTTCATCTTGCTATTAGCTGCCACCCTGGGCATGGTACTCTGCAGACACTGGGCCCAGTGCTTTGCACGCAGTAGGCATGGGGGTTACCAGCTGTTTTCAGCACAGCAGCATGGAGAGAAGGCTAAGAGAACAACAATACAGAGAATGGCCCTATGGCTGAAACTCTGCAATTGTTACAAGTCATGCATTCT